TCTGCAATTATAAGCATGAGTCATCATGCCTGGCCTTTTTTGTATTTTTTGGTAGAGATGGGGTTTCACCATGTTGGCCAGGCTGGTCTCAAACTCCTGACCTCTTGATCTGCCTGCCTTAGCCTCCCAAAGTTCTGCAATTATAAGCATGAGTCATCATGCCTGGCCTTTTTTTTTTTTTTTTTTAGACAGAGTCTTGCTCTTTCGCCAAGTGACAGGCTGGACTGCAGTGGCGCAATCTCAGCTCACTGCAACCTCTGCCTCCTGGCTTAAAGCAATTCTCCTGCCTCAGCCTCCTGAGTAGCTGTGACTACAGGTGTGAGCCACCATGCGCAGCTAATTTTTGTATTTTAGTAGAGACGTGGTTTCACTATGTTGGCCAGGATAGTCTCAATCTCTTGACCTTGTGATCCATCCGCCTCGGCCTCCCAAAGTACTGGGATTATCGGCCTGAGCCCCGTGCCTGGCCTATGCACAGCCTTCTAATGAAAATCTTGTAAATCCTGAGTTTATAATTTAAAATTGGGTATCAAATTAGACACTTGTCCATTTTAGCTTCAGTTTGCCCTACAGATCAATAGTTGACTACCAGTAATACCATAGGTCTCTTTGGTAGGGAGCAATTCAAATTAATGAAAAATTCAAAGTAGAATTTAAAAATGATATTAGGAACAGTTTACTAATATGCATGTGGGAAATGTGAGTTCACTTCAGTTGTTTTAACAGAGGGCACACAGAATTTAGAAGTCATTAGAGTCTCTAGAATTTATTTTTAGAGAAATATGGCTCTCCTTCAATATTTGACACATAATGTTGTATAGCTTTTTCTCTGCTTTATCTCTGTTTATTACATTTAATATTTATATGGGCTCATTCTGATGTCTGTTATGTGGTAGTGCCTGAATTGTCTTAGGACATGATAAATTGAAAAATAGGGTTTATAGAGTATGTTTATAGAATTTGTCTCTTAGATACCAGGCACTTCTTTAACTCTGGAGATGATTGAACAGAATTGCTACTAATACCTTTTAGCACTGGAGTCAGATTATAGAGGACTGGAGGATTTCAGATCAAATCTAGTTTTACTTTTTTCTCACATAAAAAAAATCTTCATATTTGCCTTGTTTTCAGCTAGTAAGACTGAAGACTTTGTGGTACCATGTGACATTCAACAAAATGAATCAGTTGAATGACTTACATAGTGTTATGGTATATTATAAAACGTCATTCTTTCCTATCTTCTGGGATTTTCCAGAAGAAACCCTTTGAGAACTAATGGCCAGGTCATTTCACGGTGGTTTATAAATAAGTCTATAATATTTCCAGATATTTAGTCTCTTGACCAGATTTTCCTGAGGTTTAAAAATCAGAATTCAGCTCAGAAAGGATATAATTATGACAAATTGAATAGATTTTATATGGCAGGATTGTTAAGTCTGCTATTATTAAAGATGATTGGAAAACACAAATTATTCATGTTTGAATATAGTAATTTGGGTTGCCTGTGTTGAAGAGAATATTTAATTCAGTATACACCCTCATTCACATTATCTCTTTCTTCTTTCCACCCTCATCCCACTTTAATACAAAACTACAGCTGTGAACTTTTGGAAGGGGAGAGGGGAGTCATGGGTGAAGACAGCTGGATCATGGATTTGTACTTTGTGACTTTATATTTTCATTCTTTTGCTACTGGGGAAAGATGAAGCAGGCACATTTCCAAAGAATGGCTGACACTACCCATACAAAGACAGTAATTACATCAGTCACTGTAATTCTTTGGAGCTTGTGGATCTTCTTTCACATGTATATGGCAGAGGTCTACCTTGTAGGACTAGGCAAGGGGTGGGTGAATATAGATTTTATACATGCCAAGTGTACATGCTAAACCAGGTCCTCACCTTGTCTCTCCAGCCCCCTTTCTCCTTGAGTTCTGTTAGCCAGTGGATGCTAATTTGATAGAAGTAGGATAACTTTTTTTTTTTTTTTTTTTTTTG